TATCCAAAGGATGCTCAATCATACCACAAGGACATGTGCTCAGCTATGTTCATAGCAGTCTTGTTTGTCATAGCCAGAACCTGGAAACAACCTAAATGCCCCTCGATCAAAGAATGGATAAGGAAAATGTGGTACATTTGCACAATGGAGCACTACAAGCAGAAAAAATAATGACATCTTGAATTTTGCAGGAAAATGGATGGATCTAGAAAACATTATATTGAGCGAGGTAACCCAGACCCAGAAAGACAATTATCACATGTACTCACTCATAAGTGGTTTTTAAACATAAACAAAGAAAACCAGCCCACAAACCACAATTCCAGAGAACCTAGACAACAATGAGGACCTTAAGAGAGACATACATAGATCTAATCTCCATGGGAAGTAGAAAAAGACAAGATCTCCTGAGTAAATTGGAAGCATAGGAACCATGGGAGAGGGTTGAAGGGAAGGGAAGAAGAAGGGAGGGGAGCAGAGGAAAAATGTATAGCTCAATAAAATCAATTTTTTAAAAAAAGAAATAAATAAATAAGGTAAAAAAAAAGAGTAAGAAGAATCGTGGAGGTTGTTAGCCTGTGGTCACAGTACCAGGTGCACAGCAGATGCCGCCGTCCCCAAGCTGTCAGAGGATGGAGGTGGAGGGTGGAGGTAGCTCACTGCCTACAGTTATAAAGTATTTATGTCTGTAATATCAGGAAGCAAGCCTAATGCAAGGCATTGCTGTGTAATTCCACCATAGCGGTCAGTCCCGGAAAAGCATGACCTCTAAGGCCTCAGTCAGGAAGACTGTACAGCACACACCAGAGATTGAGATCCAGAGTGATGAAGCATTTTCTCAAGGTCACACCTGGAGTAAATGGATTCATGCCAAGATCTGCTGGGTTTCAGAGCCAGGTGCTCCTACTGCTGATACCAGAGAAAACCCTAGCAGATCTGAAGAGCCTGTCTTTATGATAGAGATGAGGTTTGTTCCTATAGAGCAAGAGAAATAGCAGACACCCAGGACTTAATGTGGCTTCCCCATGCAAATAGACAGAGCAAATGATCGTATTGGTGGCCAATTCTCCTGAAATTGTCCCATTAATTCGCTGTGATGCCAATAAAACACATTAGCACTTGGAAGAAGATCTTGACAAAGCAGTTACAATTAAATTGGGTGAAAAAAAAGTACAAAAGTAGCCAAGAAAATGTCTAAGGAAAAAACATAGAAAGAGAGCTCACATTACCCATTCACTCTCTCGATGAATACTTAGGCTCCCCTCTCTGCAATGTGCTACAGAATGGGAGGACTTAAATGGTGTGCTTCCGGGCAAAGAAGACACAGGAAAATGCTTCTTGGGAGGCAGCAGCCAAAGAGATTTAAGCGCTTTGCAGCGACCCCCCCCCCAGTATTCCAGACTCCAAACCCCAACAGCTCCACTCTGAAAATCAGATATGAACCCACCAACATCTTGTGGCCAGGAAGTGGAGGTGAAGGAGCCAAGCCTGCCCAACTTCAGGGTCACTCGCTGCTGGAGACTGCAGAGTGACGGTGAGACTTGAAAGCTCCTCCAGTCAACAGAGAAAGCAGGTGTCTTGGAGATGGTTAATTTGGCATTTCAGGGTCACCATAAAGGTAATGGGGGAAATACAAAGTTAAAGGCTTTACGATTTTATTTATTTTATGTGCATAACTGTCCATATGAATATATGTGCTCCATGTGTGTGTCATGCTCATAGAGGCCAGAAGAGGGCATCAGATCCTCTGGAACCGGAAACTGAACCTGGATCCTCAGCAGAAATAGTGAGTGCCACCAGTCACTTAGCCATCTACAGCAAAAAGTTTTATAATTTGGACTGAGAAAAGTTTTTCTCAGCATATTCAGAGGCTCAGCTGTGAGCCCCTCCTTCCCAAAATTCTAAGTAGTGTGAAAATACGCTATGCTATTGAAACAACGCAGCAAACAGTTGAACAAATGTTCGCTGCTGTGGCTGCCACCATTGTCACCGTGACTGCATCAACAGTAGCACTGTCGTCCTTGACTGCGCCACCTTCATCTCGTCATCATCGTGACATATAGGGACAAGATTTTAAAAACCTAGAAGATATATATCAAAATTTTAATTTTTAGTGTATCTGAAAGAGAGGGCTGGGGAAGAGATTGTGTTGTGACATTTGACTTTATACACATCTGTTTTTGTGATGGATACATCTTATATGAGAATCCAAATGGAAGCTCTGGGGAGCCTTACTCTGAGTAAAGATCATGAATAAGGAAAACAGAGCAGAAGAACTGATAGAAGGAAATGAGGTCCCCTGGGTCCCCAGAGTGTGGACAATGAACCAATGAACAGAGTGACTTCCAGATGCTGAGACAGACACAAGGAAAAGCAACTGTTGATTCAGAGAGTTGCTCCATCTTCTCCCTGGAGAAACAGGAGTTTTCATTTTAACACTTATGCGAGTTCAAATGGATCTTTATGCTTGCTAATCAAAGTACCCTAATGTAACATGAGGGGCCAGCTTATTGGGGTTTCTGTCCCGCCCGGTACCCCACAACCGGCAACTCCCAAGGAAAATCACACACAAGACTCCATAAGATTATAAACTGATTGGCCCATTAGGTCAGGCTTCTTACTAGTTCTTATGACTTATCTTAACCCATTATTCTGATCTATGTTAGCCATATGGCTTGGTACCTTTTTCAGCTGTCAGCTCACATGTTGCTTCTTCGGTGATCTGGGCAGGAATGGTGGACGGAGCTTCCTGCTTCCCAGAATACTCCCAGTCTCTTTGCTCCACCCCTACTTCCTGTCTGGCTTTCCCACCCATACTGCCTGCCTGGCCAATCAGCGTTTTATTAAAATATGATTGACAGAATACAGACAATTCTCCCACACCACCCTAACACAGGTAAGCAGCTGATAATGCAAAACAATGCATTCAACTTTACTGAAACACAATTACAGACGAAAACACACAGACACCAGCTATCACCTATTACACTGAAAAAAATTAGACAGATGATTAAACGCTCAGTATTAGTGTGTGTGTGTGTGTGTGTGTGTGTGTGTGTGTGTGTGCGCTCCACATTCACAGTGTTGTTGAAGTCAAACATCTATCTGGTGTACCTTTGATATAGTACTTGGTAGTAAATCAGTTAGCCTCAGAATGAGAAATTCCATTTTCAGATAGTGTCCCAAGAAATCTTGGGCCCATTCCTAAAGGTACAATCACCAGGATAATGACATTATTTACACTGCTGCAAAGACTATCAACAGCCTGGGTGTTTGTCAGCAAAAGAATGAACAAGTCGGACACTGTGACAGACACAGTGGCAGACAGTAGTCCCTCCTGTGGGACAATGGTCTTATATCTTGTAAAGATTTATCACTTGTATTAGTTTAATAAAATGCTGATTGGCCAGTAGCCAGGCAGGAAGTATAGGTGTGGCAACCTGAACAGGAGAATTCTGGGAAGAGGAAAGGCTCAGTCTGCAGTCGTCACCCAGATGCAGAGGAAGCAAGATAGAGTACCTCACTGATAAAGGTACCAAGGCACATGGCTAACACAAGTATTAATTATGCGTTAATTTAATATGCAAGAGTTAATAAAAAGCCTGAACTAAGAGGCCAACCAGTTTATAATTAATGTAGGCCTCTGTGTATTTCTTTGGGACTGAACGACTGCCATTCTGAGCAGGACACAAATCTCTATCAAAAGGTCCCCATTCTCCCCAGTTCCTAGGGTTTACACCTTCTGGTCAAACCATTACTTTGAATGTGAGCAGGACCCAAAACTTGCCTCTGGCCAATAGAGTTCTCAAAATAAGTGAATGTCATTTGTGACTTGACAACAAACAGTTGTAACTTCTATCTTGCTAGCAGATTCTCTGCTTTGCTTGCTTTGGAGAAGCAAGCTGCCATAATGGGGCTGCATGGAGAAGAACTGAGACCACTTCCTCAGCCCACAGTCACTAAGGAACTCAAACCCTCAGCACAGTAACCCAAATGTACTTGAATTTTATCAACAGCTGTGCAAGTAAACCAGGTAGGAGCTCTGGCCCTGTGGAGCTTTTAGAAAAGGACCCAAGCCTGCAGATACCTTCATTACAACTAAATGAGTTGAAATGAACTCAACTAATGTTGAGTTGAAATGAAGACCCCCAACTAAGCCATGGGCAGATTCTTGACCCCCAGACACTGTGAGATAATAAATAAAAGGTCACTAACTGTGTCAATGTGTTATACAGCAATAGCTAACTAATACAAAAATCATTCTACTACCTTAAAAAGCAAAGTTACATCTGCTTGTATAAAATACCAGAAAATATTATTCTTACTTTAAAGCAGAATATAAAACATATATTCTGGCCTCGTTTTTACAAATAATGACTAAAAAATTTAATGTAAAGATAGAATTCTGGGATTTGATCAATAATTCTTAAGACTTCTAAAAAGGAGAGTTCAGGAGACTCACCTTGTAGTATCTATGTTTTAATTTTTTGCAAGCTTATGCCTTTAAAAAAATAAGTGTTTCTACTTTAAAAGTAGTATTAGAGCTTTAAACAATGACAAGCCAAAAGTGCAGGAGAGATGGCAATGTGGTTAAAAAGGCTTGCTGGGCAGCCATGTGGACTAGTCCATATCCCAACACGCATGTAAGAAGCCAGACATTCACGCACATCTATGTGCCCAGCTCTGAGAAGAGCAGAGATGAGAGGATTGTTGGGATTGTTGACTTCTGGTTTGAGAAGATGGGATCTCCAGGTTCAGGCAGAGAGCCTGTCTCAAAGGAGCAGAGAGAGAGAGGGACAGACAAGGGCGCCTGACGCCCTTTCCAGGCCCTGAGCACAGGTACTGTGTGCACGTCTGCACACAGACACATGTGCATACACTCACACAGACATATGTTCACACTCACTCACACATACACACACACACACACAGAGAGAGAGAGAGAGAGAGAAAATGTAATAAAAACTTTTTAATCAAATAACTCAATAAAATATTCCAACCTTTGTGCCAAAAATAACGTTTCCATTATTTCCACTTCCATTCCTGATTTCTTCTCTACGTTCCACTTACAGAGGCTGGCTAGATGAATTGCCCTCTTCGCAGCTCTTCCTTCCAGCTAGAGGTAGTCTTGTCTTAGACCTGGGCCCTCATACACAGGTGGAAGTGCACTGAGAGGAACTGAGTCCCTCCTTCCTCCTTGACTGCTCAGGCTCAGAACATATATCATGTGGGTAAGTTACCCCGACAAAACCATGTGGCGTGTGCTTTAAAAGCAGATGTACATAGCTAAGGTAGCTCAGAGGAGGAGCGTGTGATCTGGCCTGCAGTTGTGAACTTGACATTCAAGCCAGGCACTGGTGAGCCTAGGAGGAGACAAGGAAGTGGATGGAATAAGAGAATCTTAATAGGAAAGCTGAGTCACCGTTCTTTAGAAGAAGGGCTGAATTGAGGGCAGGGGCCACACTCTCTGCACGGTCATGTTTTCTGGAGTTGGGATTGTGTTCAGTTGTAATAGAAGCAGACTTACAATGACTTGACCAGGAGTCATTTCATTAGCTCACACGCAAAATGTTGCCAAGTGGCTACTCCCAAGTGGTGCTGACTTTTCTCGGGAAGAGGCGAGAAATTCCAGATTGGGCAGCAGACCAGTAAAGAAATGGATCAAGAGAGTGAACGTTCAAGTCCAGCTCGGTGAACCAGAGAGTTTTCTGAAGTTACTTATGGGAACATGGCTGATTAAGAAGCAGCTATCCCACCAGGAAGTCCCCTCCCTAAGTACGACAGCTCACCTTGCTGTCCACCACTGAAGAGTCCCCCTGAGGTCAGCTCTCCACCCATCTAGACACTAGACTTGTGCAACGGAGGCTGGAGGAGTCAGGGTTACTGTGTCCTAAGGTGGTCTGTCCCCACTTCTATGAAGGAATGTGACAGCACCATTACCATCATATAGACCCACCCCACACGGAGTCGTCCTTCTGTTTGCTTTATTGCTATGACCACTGACTAAGGTATCCTGCAGAGGACCACATGACCGCATGATGGCAGATGGTTACGACACCCAGGAGGAAAGACTGTACAACACCAGGACTTGTTCCTGAGCCCTGTGACATCTGGGTTCTGTGTCTTTTTCTCCTCAGTTCTTAGCATCTTTCTCTCTGGGTCAAGCATGGCTGTCTCAATGGTGGTATCAAAGAAGACAACAGGAAGGCAGCTGAAATGGATTAAATAAAAGATGCTGCAACTCCTCAAGTGGCTGCAGCTGCAGTGAGCCATGAGACCATGCTGCAGGTCCCTGAGCAAGGGCAGGCAGTAGGTCAAAGAGCAGCCAGTCCCAGGCATGGACGGCACAGCTCCCATGCCGTGGTCTCCAAAGGTGGCTGATCCTGGGGGGCGAGCCACATGGTGGTGGCGGGCGAGAGTGAGGTTGGATATTTATTCAGTGGGCTATAGAGGGGAAGAGGGAAAAGGAGAGAAGAGGGGAGAGAGAGAGAGAGAGAGAGAGAGAGAGAGAGAGAGAGAGAAGAGAGAGGAAGGAGAGAGAGTAGAAGCTGCGTCTTTGAGAGGGAACTAAAAGGAAAGAGACTCAGGCTGCAAGCAGGAAGGAAGATCTGCCTGCCTCAGCAGATGGGGGGAGTGGGCGTAGCTTGTCTCTTAAAGAGACAGATCATTACATCACCAACGTAAAGGAAGAAGGTTTTCCTTCTCTCTGACTTTCCTACTCTGAAAAAGAGTTTCACACCCTTTATCTCATTAATCAGAATGGGTCACATGACGATTGTTAGATGCAGTTTAGGCTGGGAAAGCTATTAACAGATTTTTCAGGAATTAAGATGATGGAGAACAAAGCAAAACAGGGTTGGAAGTCAGTGCTGTGGACACCATCGCTCTCAGCATCTGCCTGGACCAGGCACAAGCTCCAAGTGTCCTTTGACTGCACCCCCTGGACTCATCTCCTGACCTCATCCCAGAGTTCTTTGCCTCACTGAATTTAATTAATAACCCAGTCAGGCTCCCAGGATAATTCCCACATATGGCTCTGCCTCCTTTTGAGCTCATGAGTCTGCAGGCCTGGGCAGCCAGTGGTAGCTGCCACTCCTCTGCCATACACTGAGAGTTCTCTGCTGTCCTTGGCTTAGAAGATGGTTCTTAACTCCCTTCTGCTGTGAGCCTGTGTTCTCCAGAGGAATGGAGCCAAGAGAGGATGTAGATGTGGGTAAATGGGTGTTTCTGTACTTGTATGTCTCTGTGTGTGTGTCTATGTGTCTCTCTATGTGTATATGTGTCTCTCTGTGAGTGTGTGTGTGTGCCTGTGCCTGTGTGTCTATATGTGGTCTCTCTGTGTCTCTGTCTCTGTGCATCTGTGTGTGTATGTGTGTGTATATATGTGTGTGTCTCTGCATGAGTATGTGTGCTTGTCCCTCTATGTCTGTGTGTATGCCTCTGTGTGTATCTGTGTGTATAGTAGGTAGAGACAGAGATTTTCATCATTATCTTTATTGTTATTTAACTTTTATATGTTTATATACTATGCATGTGCATGTGTGTATATTTGTATCACTATGTGTATCTGTATGTGTGTGCCTATCTGTGCATGTATCAGTGTTTATATGTGCATATGTGTGTGTATAGTAGGTAGAGACAGTTCCCATATGATCGTTATTATCATTTAACTTTTATGTATGTGTTTGTGTGTGTCTGTGTGGGTGTATGCCATGTGCATAGGGTACCCACAGTGGCCAGAAGAAGACATCGGGTCCCCTGGGACTGGACTGGAATTACCGGCAGTTGTGAGCTACCTGGTGTGGGTACTGGGAAACAAAGAAGTTGTCTGGAAGATCAGAAAGCGCTCCTAACCACTGGACCATCTCTCCAGCCCCCAGAGGTTTATTTGAAGAAATCAGTGCACCCAACTCTGGAGGCTGACAACTCTGCAGTCCACAGCCCTGGACTGAGGCCCCAGGGAGACTCGCGCTGCTGCTGAACTCCATCTTTGGCTGGTAGAATTCTTTTTTAGAGCTCATTGGCCCTTTTCATCTCACCCAGGCTTTTAACTGATTCGCTAGATGCACCCACTATGTGGAAGGAAGCCTGCTTTTCTCCATGTCCAATGACTTAATTCAGATCTCAGCCCCAAACCCTCACAGAAACATCCAAAGGAATGTTCTCACAAATACCTCGGTCCTGTGGTCAACCCACACATTCTGCCAGTTCCTTATTCTGAACCTGGGTTGGTCACGCCCTCCTTGTGGCTCCCCTAGTTTCATACAATATTGCATACTGCAGGTGCCTTCCTGGCAGGCTGTCAGCAGTCAGCACACCACTTCCTTCCCTTGGTCTTGGGGCTTCAAGAGCCCCTTTCCTCAGCTTGCTTTGTCCTCGAATCAGAATAGTTAGAAGGCTAGAATTAAAATCATGTGGCTTTGATGCCCAAGCAGAGATGCCACGAGAGTGAACATTCTGGAGGGCCAGAGGCGAGCGGTCTTCTGAAAGAGGAGGAGAAGACGGCAGCTGGGAGACGCAGAAACGAGGTTCAGAAGTTGCCCAAAGATCATGATTCCGTGGTTCCCGTGATACCAGGCCCAGACAATTTTTTCTCATACCCTCACTTCTCATGCTCAACCCTGCATTCCTGAACCAGTTCAGGGCATTTTTGTTGCTTATGATCAGAAGATGCCTTAGGCTCTTTCTTCTCCCCCTTGGCATCTCTCAGAGGTGTCTTCTCTTTGGCCACCAGGACAAAGCACAGGTTCTAGGATAATGTTCAAGCGCTGTTTTGGTCTTAGACCAATGCGCCTTCTCAGCCTCGCTCAGAAATCCCATTGTCCCTGCATTCAGCATCCATGTTCTAGCCAAACTCCTCCCTTCCCCTCCCTCCCCCTCCCTTCCCCCTTCCTCCCTCTCCCTTCCTCTCTCTCTCTCTCCTTTCCTTCCCCCTCCTTTCTCCCTCCCTCCTCCCTCTCCCTGTATGTGTATGTAGCTCTCTTTCTCTAACACACACACACACACACACACACACACACACACACACACGCCCACTCTCACATGCACTCGCGTGCTAGGGTTTGAACTCGGAGCTCTCTGCTCTATGGCAGGGCTGTTAGAGACAAGAGACTTAACTCACAGTTCTCCCTGTGCCTGGCTTTGGGGAAGACCCCAGGGCAGACTAGGCAGGGGCGTGTATCAGAGATAGAGACTGTATTACCAACAGGAAGAAGGGCGAGACTCAGATCCCAGAACCCCTTCAGAAGGCCACTCCCAACTAGTCTAAGGACCTTATACTAGGTCTTAGCTCTTAAAGGTTCCAGCATCTCCCACATCACACCATGGGGATCAAGTCTTGGAGGACAAACAGCACCGAACCCAGAGCATCTGAAGCTGTTTCTTGGAATATCTCCCCCATCCAGTCCATGAGCTGCCCTACCCTAGAAAGTCACCTCCTGGCTTCCTCTCCACTCCGTACCCTGAGTTTTCACAGAACAGTCTGCTTCACCGAGGGAGCATATGACCTAAAAGAAGGGGCGTGTTCATATGAATCCCTAGTTGTAGAAATGAGAAGTGGGAAGTCCTCTGGAGTTTCCATTTCCCCTTCTGCAGCCTGGAGGAAATAGTAATGTTTACCTTACAGGGCTCTGAGAAAAATCAGTTGAGATGCTGTGTGCAAAGAACTCAACACAATATGCAAACGCTTGACACATGGTACGCGTTCCTGTCTCGCGAGCCCGAACTGAGCACTGTGCAAATCTAGAGATGCTGGGATTGGCTAGGTCTGGACCCCACAGCAGTTTTGGGGTTAGGAACTGGCTCTACTCCTCCAGGACGCCCAGAACCGAAAACCTCACATCTCAGGACTCTGGGTGCACCATGACCAGCAAATCGTGCCCACTCCCAACCACACTCTTAGCCCTGCACAAACCCTAAGCCACCATAGGAAATAACCGGTGACAAAACCCAGTTGGTTCTCAGTGGAATTTTCCACAGGCTCCTCCTATTAAATGCTAGCACCATACTGTGTCGTTCATTATTTTAATTTGTATATTTGTTTTTCTCCCCCCCCCTTCTCTCTCTCTTTCTTCCCCTCTTTTCCCCACCCCCCAATTTCTAGCAGTCAGACTCGGCAGAGATTATGCATTCCAAAGGAAAAACCTTTTTTTTTCCCCTTTCTATTTTTGTCAACAGCGGTTTGGGTTTCCTTAGCATGAGAGACTTCTTCCGGTGCCCTTTGCCGGAAGAAGATGGTGTTCACACACTCAGAGCAAGGGGGACCTCTACACCCCCTGTAAGGTGGGTGTGTGGTTTTGTTAGCACCGATGCCTCTGCCAGGGCTTAGCCACTTCTAACAGTCTCTCCATGGGATGGAGCTGAGAAGCCTCAGAACTGGAAAAGATTGCAGTTGGGTGGCTGGTTGCAGCAAACTTCCCAGCACAGGCGGTTTGACCATTTCACTGTCTTGAGGTAGCTCTGCTCCCTTGAGGTATAACTCTTCACCCAGCTTATTAACCTCATTTCTGGTCAGCACCCTGTCCTTCATACCAGTCTTCTTCCCATCCTCTTAACAAGGCCACACCTCCTACCTCAAAGGAACTTGCTCCTCTTCCCATTAGACACTGTCCTACCCTCTCTTATTGCGCCAGCTCAGTTCCAATGCCAAACACACTAGGCATGGTAAACACAGTTGTCCCAGGCATTCTCAGGCCTATTATCTGTCTTAATTCCCTTTAGTAGAACCACCTGGTCTGTCTGTCTCTGTGAGGTGTAGTAGACCCTTGTCTATCTTGTCCCGCTCCAGATCCTGGCACAAAATTAGTGCCCAACAGGCTTCCGTAGACTTTTGCTGAGTAAATAAGTGATTTTAATACTTCCTTATTTATTTTATGTTTGTTTGTTTTTGAGGCGGTGTTTCAGGGTTTCATGCCATTCAGGCTGGTTGTGAACTCACTCTGGACAACCTTGAACTCTTGATCTTCTGGTCTCCCAAGTGTTGGGGTTACAGCTCTGCACACCACACCTGATTTTCTCTTCCCTTTCATCTCTTGATTTGGACCTCGCCCAAGTTCTTTGCAGCAGGCATTGACTATGATGCTGCCTTTTCAGACTAGGAAAGGTCCTCAGAGATGGGAACCGCTCCCCATCCTTGCTGTGTGACAAAGCACAGCTCAGCACACTTGCCTAAAACAAGGAACTGTTCTTTCTGTGGGTTGACGTGGTTCTTATGCTGCCCTTGCCTGCGCTCGCTCTGTGTTCACCTGACAGTTCTAGGCCAGCTGAGCGCCACTCTCCAGCCACTCTGTCATCTGAAGCGTCTGCACAGTGCACCACAGGGATCGCGGAGAGAGAGCTCAAGCTGCAAAGCTCCTGGATCCAGATCCCCAGAGCAGGGTATGTGTTCCAACCCCCATCACACAGGAGCTTGGACCAAACTGTCAGGGCTTGAGACATCCATCCTTCCAAGCCACCAAGGGCTCGCACCAGCCTGACTGTGCCTACAACTCGGAAAGAACTGAAGGGACCGTGACCACCCAACAAAAGCAGATGACTTGGATCTGAAGGATGGACTCGGCAGTTAAGAGCGCTGGCTGCTCTTCCTGAAGAGCTGAGTTTGAGTCCCACCACCCACACAGTGGCTCTCACCCATTTGTAACTCCAGTTCCAGGCTGTCCAGTGCCGTCTTCTGAGCTCCATGGACACGAGGCGCACACATGATGTAAAGACATACATCCAGGTAGAACATTCATACATATAAAAATAAAAACTCTTTTTTTAAAAAAAATCATGTGACTTCAGAAATTATAAAGGCTTTCAGCAGGCTGAGCTCTTGTTAATAGTGCTTGTTTCCTGGGAACTCAGGTAACGAAGCAGCATCTTCCAGAAGATTCCTCTAATGGCATGCTACAGAAGACAGAAAAGAAACATTGCAAGTTCCAGTCAAAGCCATTTCCACCAACACATTAGCATTTATACAAGTTGCAGCCCATCATGGTCTAGCTGAGAAGAGCACTATGTGGGTGTGGACAGTGGCCTCGCTCATCACGAGGAGGCCGCTGGGAACGGGAGGAACCTGCTTTTGAATGTAACTCCAAGGAGAAGTGTGGGCTTGCACTTTTGATTTGTTTTGGTTTTGTTTTTCAAGACAGGGTTTCCTTGTATGTAACAGCCCTGGCTGTCATGGAACACACTCTGTAGACCAGGTTGGCTTCAAACTCACAGAGATCCACCTGCCTCTGCCTCCGAGTGCTGGGTTTAAAGGCGTGTGCCACCACCACCCTACTAAACTTGCACTTTTTACAGATGACCTGGGCTGCTTGTCAATGGTAAGCAAACAAGAGAAGCATCCAGAATGCCTCCTTGGACTGGTTTGGCACAAGGGGACTTGGCAAATATATCTCTAGTGAGCAGAGGATATACAAAGCTCCTTTTTCCCTCCCACTGCCCTGGCCAAGGCTTTTTCCTTTGCTGTCCAAGCCTCTCTGAGGTGAGTAGGACCCCTTAGGGTTACAAATGAGACACTTGCCTAGTGCTTACCCCCATAGAGGGGCAGGATGGCCACAGTGCTGTGCCAGGCACTGGGACAGCAGCCTGGCAGAGGGAGGCAGGGAAGTCAATGGAGCTGCCCCTGGGTCTTTGGGGATCTGCTATGCGAGGGAGTTCTCTACAGAAGTTTGGCAAAGGAAAGTGAGAGATTCAGGTCTATGCAGATTTCAGGCACATACTACTGCCAGGTGCTCCACCTCAGGTTGCCTTGGCTCCACATCTGGGGGACCGGACTTCCTGCCTGGACAGACTTCATCTGTTCTACCCCCACCCCAAAACCCCGCTCCCTTCCTGTTGTCACCAGAACCCTCTTCTGACTGAGCTCTACCTATTCTCTGTTCTCAGACCTCTGCCTTTCCAGGTCCCCAAACTGGATCTTCTCTCACACTTTGAAAGCTTGGAGTGGTCAGGTCCCGGGAATTCAGGTGAAGGATTCTGCGATTTCAGGTTTAGAATTCTCAAGCCGGAGTGGGCCATAGCTAGGCATCCCCTCTCACACCATCAGTGTGCACACAGGTGGGCAGGGTCTCAGGCCAGGGAGCTGCCCAGGGTGGGGGCAGGAAGAAGACATTGGGTGTGTGTGCGGGGGG